GGGGGGGGGCACCTCTGGGGACTGGGGAGTCCTTAAGCCCAGCTCAGAAGATGGGAGGGGGGGGCATGGGGTGGAAAGGATGGGGGATGCTGGTGGCAGCGGTGACATCCCAGCATCTGGGGGGACATGTGGAGCGGGGTCCCCTATAACGGTGCCTTCCCCCCCCTCTCTGCAGCTCACCATGGCCGACCAGAGCAACATCCAGTCGGCGGCCTCCAAGAGCATCCGCCCCTTCCGCTCGAGCGAGGAATACCTGGAGGCCATGAAGGAGGACCTGGCCGAGTGGTTCAACGCGCTCTACGACCTGGACATGGCGGCCGACACCTTCCTGGAGGCGCTGGCCACAGGCTGCGACCTCTGCCAGCACGCCAACAACGTCAACCGTGTGGCCTTGGAGTTCCAACAACGGCACCCCGAGGCGGCCACCCGCATCCCCCGCAACGAGGTCATCTTCCAGGCCAGGAACGTGGCGCCCGGCTCCTTCGTCGCCAGAGACAACGTCTCCAACTTCATCCGCTGGTGCCGGCAGGATCTGGGCATTCAGGACGTCCTCATGTTCGAGACCAACGACTTGGTGCTGAAGAAGAATGAGAAAAACGTGATCCTCTGCCTGCTGGAGGTGGCCAGGAGGGGCTCTAAATTTGGCATGTTGGCCCCCATGCTGATCCAGATGGAGGAGGAAATCGAGGAGGAGCTGCGGGACCAAACGTGTGGGGTGCTGGGAGCATCCCAGGGCAGCCAGGCCCTGCGCCCCGAGTCGCCCGCGTACCATGGGCAGGCACAGCGCGTCTCCCTGTGCGACCTGAGGAACCTGGATGAGCTGGTGAGGGGCACCATGGGGGCCCTGGGGGGGCGAGGGGCTCCACATCTGCCCCATGGGGAGGGAGGGCCTCTCTGTGCGCCCAACAGGGGGCTGTAGGAGAACCAGGGGCCTCTCTATCCATCCTACACAGGTCTTCATGGCCCCTGGGAGGACCAACAGGGGGCTGTAGGAGCAGCGGGGGCCTCTCTATCCATCCCACACAGGTCTTTATGGCCAACAGGGAGCACTGTTGCCCATGGGAGGTCCT